CTAAAATATGCGAAGCTAAGTTAGTTGTGTATGCCGATGCGCAGCTACACGAGCTAAGTTAAGCCCCTCCCGCTACACCGCACACCCTTTGCACATACTATGCAACACTGACTGAGCTTTGGGTTAGCTGTTGGTGCAGCTATTTATTTCTAGCTTAGCTTAGCCTAGCTTGCTTGGCATAGCTTAGTTTAGCCTTGGCATAGCTAAGTTTTCGGTCTGCAACCGGCTTTACACTCTCTAAGTTACGTTGAGTATTCAAAAGCCTTTTCATAAACGTAAATCCATAATAAAATCATATCGCAGAAAGATATAATATGAATTGAATAAAATCTTCAGATACTTTTATCGCTCTTTATTTCTCACGCCTCGGGATCGCTACGAGAATAATAATGAAAAAGCTACTAAGATATCATATTGTGATTTATTTTACTAGCTTAAGCCTGTGAGTTGTATTGCTATGTATGTCCAGAACTGTTTCAGTCGATTTTGGAGTGAATTATTTGGAATATTATTTTAGAATTAATTGCTTTAAAATAATAATGAAAGAATTGCTTAAAAGGCCGGCAACGCATTCGCGAGCCCTCTGGTATTGAGAGTGTCCATGGGCGGTGGTATCACTTAACATCAGATGAGCCTCCTGCCCGTTTGCCGTCCATTCTATAAAAAAGATGATAGATACCTATAATTTATAATTATATGGCGTTTTCTAAAGCAGTTTTTGCCGCGCACCACCGTTATGTGGAACCAGCTGCCCACTGAAGTATATCCAAACCAATTCGACTTAGGGTCCTTTGAGAAAAGAGCGTATCAATTTTTAAAAGGTCGGCAACGCACTTGCGAGCCTTCTGGCTATGTGAGTGTCCATGGGCGGCGGTATCACTCCGGTGAGCCTCCTGCCCGTTTGTCTCGTATAACATAAAAAAAGCTACTAGGCTAATGGGTGTCAATTAATAAAAAGCAGATTTATGGTCTAAAATCCTATATTTAAAAAATATTTACAATACTTATATCTTAAGATCATCAGTCACATCTTTAAACCCATATAAGAACACTGTTTATAAAATGGAATGTTACGTAATACCTTATAATATGGCCAAATATCTAAAAGTGTTATTTTCCAATAATACATTTAGGAACGTGTTTGAAAAACATTAACATGTTAAAATACTTGAACATTGGAATACTTTAAAACACATTAACAATATTTAGTTCAATAATGACTAGCAAAACTATTAAAATTAAAAATCAAATAAATACGATAGTTGACCATAACCTATGAATACTCATTAACATTAAGAAATAATTCAAATAGGAACACTGCATCAAAATACGTAATGTATACAATATCCGCCATTAAAACGTCTAATATCACAATCTCAGTCACATTTACTACATCACGTTTGAATAATTTCCTTTACGGTTGAATCGCTATCAGTTTTCCCTATATTAACATGGATGGTTATAGCTTCATCATTCTCGGATTTCAAGACGACATCACTCCACTGGACCTCGGCTTTCTTACTGTACGCCTCGTTCTCAATAAGTATTGCCGATTTGGTACACAGCGCTTTACTCTGAAATTCTACTAAAGCGCAGTAATCGCTTCTTTTGCCTTCTGATTTCACGTCTGCGATGTGTCCCAGTTTCCGCCTCATGACTTCGACTTTGACGTGGTAGTTGTAAATGCAGACTTTGATGATGAAAGCGCTTTTTTGGTAGAGGAGTATGATTTTGTACTTCGTCCTGCAGCAGGCCGTTTTCTTCAGTTTCGTCTGGAAGTTTTCTATGAGGATTTTGATCTTTTGGGAGTAGACGGCGATGATGTTGTGGGTGGATTGGAGGTGGGCTGAGAGTTCTTCGAAGGGGACGGAGCAGCAAGTTGCTGTGATCGGACACACCATTGTATCGTGCTTGCATTCTTCTTCGTGTTTGACTCTGGTGTTTGCTGTGAGGAGTTCCGTACAGCCTCGTCTGTGGACAATGAAAAGAAAATTAGTTTGTGTACGTAGAAAAGTTTTTGTATTCTTTTAAGTGCTGCAGCGTTGTGAAAGTAGATAACATTCTAATACCCAATGTCAAGTTGAAGGTGTTAAAACGGCCTTGGCTTGTCACTAAATATGCAATCACATTTAGTATTGAGATTAGACGAATTATACATCAAATAAATTTTCATCTCAAAATTAAATTTATCTTAAAACGATATTATTTTTTTCCTGAAAGTTTTTACAAATTGCAGCTTTAGCGAATAAAAGCTCATCGCTATGAGCTTTAAAATTGAATTAAGAATTATAAAACTGAGTTTCTTGCTTTACAACTTGCGTATACACGCAATTACGCTGTAAAGACGCTTTTAATTTACGATTCATCCGAAAACATTTTTAACCTTTAACACGGCATTTATTATTCAAATACATCTTCTGCAATCAAATACTACAGTGATAAGATCTATAAGTGTATTCAAATATTAACAATTCAGCTTAATAAAATATATCAAGAAATATCTTTACTATTTAACCTTCTCATTAATATGTTTTATTTAGCTATTCGCATACATAAATATGCAATAATATTGTTTTTGTAATATTAAATTCTGAATATTAATTTAAGATATTTTGAAAACATATGATATTCATAATAAGAATACTATATATTTAAGTATCGCAATACCGCGACGAAATGCTGCCAGCAAGGGTATACTGCCACAGGGACTAAACTTTTTAAATTTGTTTCATTTTCTATTTATCCATTTTTAATTATTATTATTACTATGTAGGCTATAAATATGGTACAATATATATTAAATAATAAATACTGTGTGTTAGAGATAGTGTGTCTTAAGGTGAATATTTTGTTTAAACCCAATCAAAATTACATTCATTTGGTATTTTTTATTGTAACTAAAACAGGACTGATAAATTTAGTTTCCAAAAACAGCAGAAGAGCTGGAGAAAAATGGGACTCGGACCTCGTATGGCCAATTCAAAAAAATCTGTGTAAAAGAGTTTTATTTCACCCGCAAAGGAAAAATATCAAAGGTTGAAACATTCGAAACCGCACTGTGAGTGAAACGAAAACATTCATGCATCAGTATACATTTTTAAATGCAAATTTATTTACTTTTCTACGTGTATTAATTTTAGATATGTGCTTACTGTCGAGTCTAAATCACATCCTTTTCCATTTTTACTAAATTGTAAATCACGTTACAACAGTTATTTACAAGTATTCTATGATATTGTTTAATCGCAAATCTATAATAAAACTTTGCAAAACCAGTGCTTAAGCGGATATGACCATATGCTAATTTTTGACGTCGTTCGTGGCGCTACAAGTCCAGTTCATGGCTTCAGATTTCTGTATCTATTGCGTAATCATTTTTCGTATAGGTCAGCCTGTGTTTGATACACGCTTTTGATTTTTAAAGAAATAAAAGTCCTTTGGTTTAGCATGATACGAGCGCACGACCTCTGGGTCCAGGGTCGCACGTTCAAGCCACTAGGCCAACACTGCTTTATGTCAACGTTAATTGCTGACAAAAAAGCACCTAGACTACCTCTATATTTCCTTTATTAAATACAATATAATATTTTCGCTTCCAATAAATACCGTTAACAAACATTTACCTAACCTTCGAAGTAGATAACTAACAGTTGTCAATTGTTTAATCAATTAAACCAATATAAACAAGCGAAATTACGTCAACAGTATATTGTGACTAACAGTTATTTGAACTTAACATTCATATGTTATTGGGATTCAAAAATTTGATGACAATTTTAAATATAATCAATTTTTGAAAAGAGTTAGTTATATGAATTTAATTTCGTAGTCGAATTGAATAGCAAATGTAGAGTTTGTGTTGTGTACCTGATGAGTCTACGTTTTTGTGCCTGTAACATTTATTTTTCGCTGAGAATCAAACTCATGACCTCTAGGTTAAACACCATTATCATGAACCCTGAAGAATGAAAGTTATGACAAGTAGCCGCTGTGTCTATGAACCTTCTTCTTCTTCAGGTGCAACTTTATTACCAAAGGTTGGCTGTTAAATTTGAACTTCCGTGTACCTTGCGCTAGTCTCTAGCTCTTCACCGGATGTGATGCCGGTCCACTCCCGTACGTTCTTGCCTTGAATTTTTCTTATCATTATAAACTGCACGTCATATCGAACTACGCAAAATATGTCCGAGATTTGCGACTTTCTGTATTTAAACAAACATACAGTTTCGTGTCGTCCTGGTTCGTTGAAGGACTGTTTCATTCTTCACTCTTTGGATCTAGCTGATGCATCTATGAAACGATTATTATTTTAGGGTTCGACTCGATCTCCTTATAACGTGCGTTAACCACGGATGCGGTTGTATCGACGTACAATATGTATACAGACCTTGAAAACAGTACAATAAAGACTCCTAGTCATAATCTTAAAACAAATAGAATTACACGCGGAGTAATCTATAGATAATTAACCGGCTTAAACCACTCCCTATCCGAACAAGACACGCTTCTCGAGACTGATGGCTAGCCTCCAGTAAAGCAGAGGCAACAAAAGTAGAAAACCCACTCCAATCAATGGCAACCTCAATTTCATTAGTTACTTTATGACACTATAAGACAGGGAATGCACTTGGCTTTTTATGGATTCAAGCTTTTAAAGCTCATTTCGATTGAGTAATGTTGTAGAATTAGGTCAATATATCTACAATTCTATATACTAATATATATTTATAAGGTTTTTTAATTTCTTACTATATGCCAAAAAAAAATTGACAAATTCTTGAGTTGGAAATATGAAAGCGTGACGTGAAACGTTTAAGTATTTTAAATTAATTAATTACTAAAAATTAACATAAACAGACCTAATTAGAACGCTATTTGTATTGTTTAGGCTCGATCTCGCGCTATTTGTCATTAGAGTCAATTTAGACGAAGGAAAGTACTCGTAGTTCCAACTTATTTTTTAATCTGTTCTCATAAAAACGTCTCACAACAATCAGCATGCCGAATCCGTAAGTATGTAATCATTTTTAAACAGACGGTATAACTTGATAACACAAATGCGATAAAAGCATATATGCTTGCTAGATTGGGTTATAACCTAATCTCCGTGAATTTACGAACACTCAAAGTATTTCTAATTTGCATTTACGAGTTTGCGTCATGCGTTATTTAGCGTATGAGGATAAATATTCTTAATACATAAAGGGTTAAGAAACTTTATAAAAAATAAATCAGTGGCGCTACAACCTATTTAGGTCTGGGTCAGATCTGGGCTGATCATTCATCCATCTAATAGGCAAGTAGGTGATCAGCCTCCTGCGCCTGACACACGCCGTCAAATTTTTAGTTCTAAGGCGAAGCTGGTTTCCTCGCGATATTCTGTCACTGTTTGAACGAATGTTAAATGCGCACATAGAAAGAAAGTCCATTGGTGCACAGCCGGGGAGGGTTATTAGTTCTCCTTGACATATTATATTTTATAATTATAAGTGTCACAGTTAATTACAACAACGCAGAAGAAATTATTTTTGTATATTATTGTTTTGTTTAATTAAGAGTCAAAGAGTTAATGGGTCTCCTGATAATAGTTACTGGTTGGTCGCTCGCTGTTGCGAGACTCCAATAAAAAAATATATCGAGGCCAACAGGCCTTAAGGGCCTTTACAGCTAAGCTCGGGCTATTTTGGCGAGCGTAGCTCAGCCGGAATGGGCGTTTTCCCGCGACTAGCGCAAGGGCGTCTCCCGCAAGACTTGAACCTCGGCTTGTGCTGTCGCAGGGCTATCAATCGCTTAAAGGGTAGGACGAAAGCACACTGGAGTGAGCGAAGTGCGAAGTAAAGATCCTTCCCCGATGAAGTTGGTATTTACCCTAATTTGACTTAGACTATTCTTTGCCGAGCGAGCGGCTTTTAATTTGTTGTTAGCTATCGTGATTTAATCATCCGGATCCGTTAGAAAATGTAGGGGCCTCATACGGGCCTTTTTTGCCGGAGCGACCAACTAGCAAGAGGGCAGTAGGCAGCGAGAAGACAGCAGGCAGCATGAGGAGGTGAGCAGCAGACGATGAACGCGTGCGCCTGTACAGCGCCGAATGACTCACAAGGAGCGAGCGGAGTAGCACGTCCGCACGGGTCGGCAGTTGAGCGCAGATTGTGGTTTTTCGATATGGTGGTATTTTTACTATTAGGGCAGAGTAGGCTCTTGAAGTCATATAGGTCATGCTTGGATAATCTCTGCTGGAAGCCGATTCCACACGTTGGTAGCTTGTCCAATAAAACTTTTGTAAAGCGAGTCATCAAGGATTTCCAGTCCTTGAAGTGACCCATATATTTCACAGTAGCAAGTTTATTTAAGAAATCATACTTAAGTAAAAGAAGTGCAAGCTTAAGTCCCAAACATTCTGAAAGTGTTTTCATAATTCTCAATCGAAACTCTTTGGTTTTTAGAGAACAAAAACCCTTTAACGGCATAAAAATTTTAGCAGCTACGATTATCTTTTGTAAAGACATAGTAGACGACTCATTGGTCTAGTGGTTAGTACCCCTGACTGCGAATCCATGGGTCCCGGGTTCGATCCCCGGCTGAGACGAACATCGATGTGATGAGCATTTGGTGTTGTGCTTAGGTCTTGGGTGTTTAAATATGTATTTATATATCTATCTATCTATAATATGTATGTATATCCGTTGCCTAGTACCCATAACACAAAAGCTTCACCAGCTTAGTATGGGCCTCACCAGGGTGGGGCTGGGGATTGGTGTGAATTGTCTTTAAAAAAATAATAAAAAAAATAGGGAGTGGAAATTTTGATGTGCCTTCGAGATGGACAACATTTATCGCTATAGCTCTTAAACCATATCCTTTAATAAAAGTATTTTTAATTACCCTTATGTTTAATTTTTGAGTAGAATAGATGATGGTAGATGGTGGAAGATAGAAGATGGTAGTTTTACCCAACCTACTAATATATGGAGGCTTTTATGTATAAACCTTGAAAAGCACAAAGTTTATTTGCTCGATATCACACATTTTAACTTGTCAGGTAGAGTCTATGCGGAAAGAGAATCCGCATCGTTGGAGGTCGCAGCAGTGCTAAAATACCTTTTTTGTTGTTGTTGTTGTGTTTACAACACTTACTTCATAATAATTTTGTAGTTATCATCTTGATACTCAATATAATAAAATTTAAAGTATAATATATTCTTTGTGAACTAATAAAATGACGCACAGAATTTTATTAGCTCGCATTACTATCATGCCGGTTATGTTTCCGCTCAGACGCATAAATAAATACCTGTAATTTCTACACGGCAGCATGAGATCATTAATCAGACGTTGAAGGGCCAGGCAGGGGGTGGCAGGAGTCCTTAATACTCCTCTGCACCATGCGCACCGGGTCATTCGACGGGAGCAGCGATTGCACCATACCCCACCACACCATGGGCAGACACAGGGTCCGCAGCACTGAAATATACAAACGAAACTTTACATTTCTTGTGTTATTTTTCAACTTACGGCTTTTTAAGCATTCAAAAGCTAAGAAATAGGTACTGAGACATTTTCCACCAGTTAGAAAGCTTTTAAAGAAATATGTTATGCGGTTTTTCTATTGTATGCATTCAACATTCTAAGAATTGGCTCAAAAAGTACTGGATTTTAAAAATTCTTCCATCATTTGAATCCTTATCACTGATTAATATAGGATATTTTAATTGCATGAAAAAAAAGAATCCCTACTTAACTTACAATAATGTTTGATAGTAAAACAATGTTTTACCGGATTGAAGTTATGTATTTACAATTATTTTTCATAATTTTAAATTTAACCCACAATAATGTTACCTAAGGTGTAACAAAATGCCTATTAAATATATAATAGCATGCGCTGTAAAAACTATTGATAATAGAACAAAAAAATGTTCCACAATGTTATAGAACATATCTTTATCTACAATTTAAAAAAAATGTCCATCTGTGCGAAGCCGGCACGGGCCGCTAGTGTAGCGGACGAAATTGGACGCATACTTAGTAGTCCCAAAAATATATAAAACAACATAATCTTGTAAATGAAAATGCTGTTATTCCGATTAAGTTTCCTGCTTGTTATGCAATGAAGTTTTAATTAAATGTATATATTAAAAACGAAAGGAAATTTATAGTTAGTATTTAATTACGTTTTGACTTAATTTCAAAGTGTATTAGAGCACAGCACAGTTTGAGCAACGACACACTGGAGAATAATCTTATCAAATTTCGAAGCACGTCTAACTTGTATTTTAGAATTTGCATAATCTTTGTTGTGACTATACTTTGTAGTGTAGACTTTGTTGGTGTAGTTGCTTCCAGTAATCTGGAGATTAAGCCATGATTCTCAACCCTGAGGTCGTTTGAACCCTGGCTGTGCAATACCAAGAACTGGCAGTTGAAGTAATTTTAAACTTAATGAATTACGATATTTTATTGAAAGCCTAGAAGTTGTTTAGAGGTCAGCCGGGAATTGATCACTTCACCTCAGATTTAAGTATTGCACGGCTAACCACTAGACCAACACTTTTCTAAATTAATTAAGGTTTACGTAAAATGTGAATATTTCGCATAATGCGTTACACAAGAAACTAGACGGTTCTTGTGTAATTACTAACAAAACGAAGAAATTATTAAAGTAATATATTTTATTTTATGTTTTATTTAATATACAAAGTATTTTAATAAATAAAATATTCATCAAGTCTTATCCGTATCCAAAAAAGTTTTGGAAAAATACCGTGTGACAGACACAAAAAATAAAAGCTATTTCCCATTACTTTTTGCTTACAATTATTTAGAATGCTTTTGTGAAAACACGTCTGGCCGGTTTTTATATTTTGGTAACATTATATAGCTTATTTTATTTGAGAATAATATTGCACTTATATGATAATAATGTTTGAAATCGGTCCAGTAGGTTTTAATACGTTAAAAACAAATCTTTATCCTGTATAACATTATAGATTACATATCAACATGTAATCTGCACATATATTGACCTGATTATGATATTTAATATATTTATTTATTTATTAACACTTCGTTGTATACAGAAGTATGATACAATTGACATAATTAAATGAGAAGGACGGCAACTGGCGGCCTTATCGCTTTCGAGCGATCTCTTCCAGGCAACCACTATGAGTTTAAAAAAAAAATTAGATAAGGTAAGGAAGAAGTGCAAAAATTCATAAGACATTTAAAAAAATCAATATAATTTCTATGTTGTTTTTTTTATTAGCACCCTTACATATCAGGAAGATCTGTGGTCGAAAAGCTAGGCAGTATGAAATCTCCCTTTTCCTAAAAAGGGACTTTCTTCACTTAAAAGCCTTGGCTTCTCCCGCCGAGATCGGGCGACAACTACTCCGGAAATATACTCATGATATATATATATATATATATTGTGTTGTCCGCATATCTATTAATTTGATTTACCTGTAATGGCTCCAAACAAATACTGCACTCGGAATATCTTGATAGTATTTCATCGCAATTGGGACAGGCGCATTGGGCGGAATGCCCCTCTGATTGAGTTTCCAAATTACTCTCCACTAATGGAAGGGATTTATCTGAAAAAAAATATTTAAATAAGGTGACATTGAAATACTAATTTATGTTAATGTGTAGTTGAGTGATCAACGATTATTTACATCCGTTTGTACATACAATTATATTGATTGTGAAGTATACTTGATTTGGACAATTGAGTAGGTATTGTATATTAGTCCAGGATCCATCGCCCATTTTTGCACTTGATTACTATCAAGCTAATTTTCCGTGAGTAGCTTTATTTTGATGAGACGCCCAATAATTTCCTGTACGAAACTCTCGATTGTGGTAGCTAACAGAAGTAGCAAGGATAAAATATGTTGATTTGATGATTCTCAAATATTTATTACTAACTGAATTTTTTTTTGTTAAATCTCAAGACAATTATTTAAATTATTCGAAAAAATATTTGTCCTACAAAATCTATGGTTTGATCAAAGAGTCCCCTCTTTCCGACATGTATCGATAACGAGGTCATCATAAATGATTACTAACCAGCTGATTTTTTTTTTACTTAGTTAATAATTATGTAATTTAACAGACATATTGTCCTACAAATTGCGCGGTACGTTATCCTGGTCCTCTTTTATCAAACCATAGATTTTGTAGGACAAATATTTTTTCGAATAATTTAGATAATTGTCTTGAGATTTAACAAAAAAAATTCAGTTAGTAATAAATATTTGAGAATCATCAAATCAACATATTTTATCCTTGCTACTTCTGTTAGCTACCACAATCGAGAGTTTCGTACAGGAAATTATTGGGCGTCTCATCAAAATAAAGCTACTTACGGAAAATTAGCTTGAAAGTAATCAATTGCAAAAATGGGCGATGGATCCTGGACTATATGTGATACTTATTAAACAAATTAATGACTTTGTACAATATAATGCAAATACAGAGGTCTAGGCTCTGAATATCATTTTGTCCTATTCGGTGTCGAGACCCTTGGTCCGTGGGGTCCTACTGCTATAAGGCTTTTTAAGGAAATAGCAATAAGGTTAGTCGACATCACAGGAAACCGAAGAGCTGGCCACTACCTCGGACAAAGAATTAGTCTAGGGGGAACGCTGCCAGTATCTTCGGAACCTTTAAAAGGGACTCCTTTTATAGTTATTATATTTTAAGATTAGTTATTGTTTTTCTGTGTTTTTATTTATTCCGTGTCTAATACAATTTAATGACAATATTACGCCAGTTGAATCGTATATGGAATAAACGTTTTGATTAAGTCAAAATTATGTAATACAATGAAGCATCAAAAATAAAATAAAACACGTCGTATTGATGCTTTGGTTTTTTTTAAGGCGTCATTTGTTTATTATCTAAGAGTCCGTGCGTATCAATATGCATGATTGATTTTTCACCGATCAACGAAAAAGCCTTCTCCAAGTACGAAGGCGGTGTTTATTTTGTAATTACTTATAATGCAACAACGTCAAGGACACTCAAGTCAAGATCATGATTCAATCATGTTTACTTCATTTACATATTGACACCTTTCAGATATGTTTAATAAGCGTCATTTAATTGCTGTTACCGCTCGGTTAAATATAACGGCGTGGCATTTAAGTCTCATTCTCCAATTATATCTGAACGCCAGTAATACAATCAGATTACGATTATTCTTAAAAGGCTGGCAACGCACTTGCGAGCCCTCTGGCATTGAGTGTCCATGGGCGATATCACTTAACATCAGATGCGCCTCTTGCCCGTTTGCCCTCTGTTCTATCGAATCATTTAATTACTGTTAACGTTCGGTTAAATATAACGGTGTGGAATTGTAGTCTCATTCTCCAATAATATCTGAACGCCAGTAATACAATCAGATTACGATTATTTTCAAAAGGCTGGCAACGCACTTGCAAGCACTCTGGCATTGAGTGACCATGGGCGGTATCACTTAACATCAGGTGAGGTTGTTGCCCGTTTGCCCTCTGTTCTATAAAAAGTGTGCTTTAAACATTTTGAAGACGTAAAGTTTTGTTAGTCTTATATTATTCTGACATTGGCCATTTATTATTGTTACATATATATAGGTATATATATTATGTTCGTTATATCGAATCATGTGCGACGTTTATGCGTCGCGTGCTGCAACGTCGTGCACGTGACTATAAACCGTTTAAGTATAAGTTAGCATGAATCGTACATACTGATCTGATATTGTAAAATCAACATTATTTACATCTTACAGTCCAGATGGATAATGACACAAAAGTTCTTATTACTTAACGATATATCAGCACTTACGTCTGTACGTGTCTGAGTCGTTCATTTACCGTAAACAGTTACTTAAGACATTAAGTAATGTATCTTTTTGTTTTTCAACGCCTTTAGTTGTATGTATGTAATCGATATATTAATCAGATTTTAGGTTAAGATCAGAGTTAATTTAATGGACTATTATTATTACTTATTAAAATACTTTTTTTTCAGTTTTATAGTATTATATTTATATTTTTTAATGTAACTGGAGGCAAACGGGCAGAAGGCTCACCTGATGTTAAGTGATACCGCCCCTATGGACACATTGTCAGAAGGCTCGCAAGTCCGTTGCCGGTCATTTAAGAATTGGTACGCTCATTCCTTGAAGGACCTTTAGTCGAATTGATAATTCAGTGGTCAGTGGTTTCACATAGTGGTGGTGCGCGGCAAAATACCTTAAGAAACGCTCAGTACGGCTATCTTTATAATTTTAACCTAATAAGTTAATTTTATCAAAAATATTGTTAAATTTAACCAGTTCAAGGTCCACAAAACAGTTAAGCGTAACCATTACGTAAGTAGTTTAAAGTAAAAGGCATAACTGGTTATGAAGACTAGACACATGTTTGGTCTCATTCCTAACTTATTCATTGATTACGGAAAATTTTGTTTCATAACATCTGTAGATAGACTCGTTTTATCGGCACATAGTTTTTGTAGCAATAATGCAAATTAGATGTACAAAAATAAAGTTTTTAAAGGTTAAATTCTTATTGTTTTAACTTTAACATATTTTTAGTTTGTTTAATTACACAAGGCAAAATATGTTGTTTTAATAATAAATTTATACACGTGGAATTTGTGTAGTTTGGCAATTTCTGCGTACTCTAGAATGATTTTACATAAAACCGTACTGAATGTACACCGTAAGGCTTAGTGACCCTAGTGATCATTTATTATTAATAGGCATGTTGGCGTTGGTCGTTTTTTGGGTCTAAGGCAAGCCGGCTTCCTCACGATATTTTCCTTACTGTACCAGCGAATGTCAATTGTGATTCGTACTCACGACCTCTAGAAGCAAGAGAAATAACACTATCTGTTGGTAAAAATATTGATACGCCGGGGAATCTTAATTTATATACGCGTTTCAATGTAGATAATTTGGTATATATTGTTAAATGATAAGAAATGAGTAATTAAAAATGTTTAATGAAACAATTTGTCCTCTAAGTCGTCAAAAGTTTATAAAGTAATTAAATATAATTTCCTGTTTTTCTTGTTATCAGACGTATTTTGAGAATAATACCCTTTTCTCATAATTTTAATACAACTTTATAGTTGAGACTCTTACATCTGTATTAATTTATTTTACAGATTATACCAGAAGTTTTATATCGATTTTTGTTTTGTTTGTAGATACTTTGATCTGTCTCAATTAAGTGACACGATCTTTTTTAAAACTTCTTCAAAGTATATTTTTAGTGTTGGATTAAACAAACCCTTTTTAAATATTCCAAAAATATATATATAAAAATCCCCGAGAAAAAGTTCAACATTGAATTAAGTCAGCTTTACAGTTGAAAAGAAACTTTGAAAGCTCGAACGTCCTGTGAAGTTAAGGAATTGAAATAGATTAAGAAAGTCTCTCAGTACTTATGCACCTAATAGTTTTAACTTAAATCTTAGTTGTTATAAAGTTAAATATAAAATTTCATGGTTCAAGTGCTCAGGCGCTAATTAAATATTTAATTGGTAGATAGTACCGGTGACCCCAGAGATGGTGCATTACTCGATTAACGAATATGTATCGCAATACTCGTACAGCGAGGAAATGCTGCCAGCGTTAAACACTGCCACTAGGACCAAACTTTTTAAATTTGTTTTCATTTTCCATTATTTAATTATTATTTTTATTACTATGTAGGTTAAGAAAATTATGTTTAGGTTTTAATAAACGAAATACTTATAAAGCTCATGAAGTTTTTGAAACATGGTCTTTATTATATTACCATGCTAGCTTTATACCACGTTTTATTAACACCGCGTAAGTTGATAATTTACTGAAAACACCTGCTTATTCACAAACGTTAAGGTTCGATTTTAGTGTGCTGTACTGTGCGGCACAGTGTTACACAGCGTACGGCACAAATGTACATATTCTATGGGATTCCAGTGATTTATTAAAATAAATAATAAAATAGTATGTTAATTCATCCTTTAACTAATTCAACATTATAACATATACATATATTTCGATAAAGATAGGGCAACAATACATAACATATAAACAGAAGAGGTGAGCAAAAAATTGTTTAACCCTGGCATTCTTTATAAGTGGCCTAATCACACGACAAGGGGATGAAACCTTTGGTTGCAGAAGTCTGAGAGGATTGATTAGATCCCAGCAGAGGCATAAAAGAAATTACATTTAAATTTTCGCACTGAGGAAACCTTTGGCGACACCGGGGATGAGATAAACGGGGGATATCATAATGTATATTGTCGCTGCGACGTGTGTTGGAACAGCTTCTTCTTTCATTCCCATCTTTCATTTCTGTAATTGAATTCACCAATAATATAGAAGGTTTATTACTTTAAAAGTCCTGTTGACACAAAAGGCCAATACCAATTAAAAACTTGGAACCACCGTAAAAGAATTGGACAATTAGCCTTACGAACAGGTAATCTATAATGATTAAAATTATCCCAAACAGATTATAGTTTTTTTTAATGTCGTGTATAATTATTTGTCTTCTTTCTCTTTATGTTATAGTAATGTTTCATGTATGTATTTGTTTTCTGATAGATCAATACTAGTTGAAGATAAAACTGTCGGTGTTGCGCTTGCGCCTTTAATCTGTAGCGATGGAATCCCATTTGGAATGTTAAAGGTTTGTACTGCGATTTCAATTTACCAGTGCTATAGATATATCTAGATTTCATACAGTCAGGATCGGTCTTGCAATACTCCGGTCACATTGAGTTATGGACTATGTGAGCACTACTATGTTTATTTTACAAAATTATTACATTTACAAAAAGGATCAATTATATACGAAAGGATATAAAACATATTAAATATATTTGACTAAGTAATACCTATGTGTTGTGAGATGGTTTAAAATTGATATATTGATATGTCCTGCGTAAGCAATTTCCAAATAGATCATGGCCAATAACGGGCTGTAGATCAGTTGTTTATCGCAAACGAGGTTGGTATTACAAAAGAATTTATTAACCTAAATCCTTTTGAACTTACTACAAAAGCTCCTAGGAAAAAACTGAAGAATTCCTAAGTGTATTTGTGCAAATACTTGAATGAATGGACAATTGACCGATTTGTCGACGAGCGGTACTTAATGGTTCGGTCCCGAGTCTCGTTCACTCACTCATGACACATTGGGTTTCCTGTTTAACATGTGTCATAGAAAAATTCGGTATTTCGAGACTAAAAATCTTAGATTATTTATAGGTATATTATCTATATTAAAAAAAAACAGTAGCCCTATACATTTTTAGATCTGGGGCTCAAAATTCTGTATCTGTTTCATGAATATTTGTTTTTTTCTAAAGCCGGTTTCCTCACGATGTTTCGCTTCGCCATACACGCCTTACAAGCCATACACGTTAGAAACTCAGAACTCCATTGGTGTGTAGCCGGGGTTCGAATCTACGACCTCGGGTCTCATAGTTGCATGCTAAAGCCCGTACTACTTTTCCGAAGTACGTTTTCGTTACATCATGCTTATAAATTTGATTCTAAGAATTTTAAAATAGTCATATATTTGCTTAAGATAAAGTCATAGGGCGTGAGTAATTTTCGTAGTAAACCAAGTCATTCATAAATGATTTTATAAACAGATTAGATCATTTTATAACATTACCTACTATAACCAGATTTTTAAAGAATTTCATCATGTTTAATATTTAATCTTGGATATTATAACTTTGTTATTTCTGATCATGCTTGAGGTATTTTTACATAAATAATAATTATGTTTTGATGTACCTCACGATTTGATTAAATAATTAGTTAGTTAGTAATATACTCAGTAGTAATAATTTGACTTCAAAATATTTCAGGTTGAAATTGTATTAGAATTATTTAAAAGTAAAGAGTGGCGGAGAGTTTATTGCCAGTTCTTCTCGTCCATTCTACGCCCTTGATTTGAGAACTGGCAGTAAATGTTAACTTCGAATCGTTTAATTCAAACGTTCATAAGTGTACAGATACAATAAGGTACTTAAGTTTTTTTAACTATGTAAAATTTTGCGAGAGCTGTGCTGCTGTCAATGGCACTAATAACTTCAAGTATCTTGGGTGTACTGTAGCGGACACAAGAGAAGAGGAAGTTGACATCCGGCTACAAAGTACCCTCCGTTCTAGTGCAGCTCCTCATAAAATCTTAACGTATTAGTTTTTAGTATTCCTGGTAGGCACACCATACTAAACTCTGGATTTACAAAACGGTTATACAACCTATACTTGGATGCTGACCATTAAAATTTGTTTAGTAGCTGAAAGTTCTGCGGAACATTCTAGGCCCGACAAGGAGGAAGCTGGAGCGTCAGGGAAAACGAGGAGATCAAGGACATTGGCGAAGCCAAAGCCCAAAGACTCCATTGGCCTGGTTATGCGAGATTATTAATGCGAGAAGAAGTGTTAAAAAAAGCGTATACCACTATACCTATTGGCAAGCAGTAGCGCGCGATCCGCAAAGGTGGCGTTCTTTAGTTTTGGAGGTCAAGGTGGTTTTGGGTCGCTGCGCCAGCGGAGTGAATTTCATATGATACGTTTCTTGCAAGATTGGATCGTGCGAAGTACGAAACTTATACCCCATATAATTTGCATGGCCCATTAACAGTACTTATCAGACCTTGTGATTATAATGAATTATTCATAAAACTAATTCTTAATAAAAACACTATTGACAATTAATTATTACAATGCTTCTTAGTTCCGTCACGTCAGCCTTCATAACACTGAGGTCGCTGATCTAATCAAAAGAGTAGAGAAAAATTAACAAGAAAATAATTAATTATAAATTTTGAGTATTTTTATTTACGTAATACAAATTATGACGCTCTGTTTCTTATTTGTGGATTACACACGTATTTTATTATTAGAGCCTACTAGTAACTTGAAATATCAAAGATAAAGTATGACAGACTTTTGCGAATCAAAATAACGTGTAAATATTAAAAAAATATGTATTCCTTGAATACATATGTTTAATAAAAGTACAGATACCTTATGGCATTGACATACATTCGTACTTCCTCTGTTGTACCATTATTTTCATATAATCGTTCTCCTTGTAATTTTTTTATCTTGAATACATAAATACTATATAATTTTATTACTTTTTCGAAAGATTAAGTAATTGTATGTATGGAGATAATGTATTTACTTTAAAAATACTATCTATATTCGTATATCGAATCCGAAAATTAATGATCGTTAATAAAAAATAACAAGCTTGCTTAATTATTATTTCTGGACTAATATAATAAAATTTGTATTGTTTGTTATAAGGTTTATTTTACAATGCAGATAACTTCAAAATAATTTTCTTATGAAATAAATAATAATGTTCAGAGCAAAAGACACAGAACTTTCAAACGTCCATACCTTCTATTTCGACATTTTCACTGCTAGAAGAATCTGAAGTATCATCTTCTATTTTCTTCTCGGTCACAATTGTGACACTGTTCTCTCCACAATCGTTGCTCTGGGACCTCTTGTCCGTCACGGAATGGAACTGTAAACAAATCAGAATTCAAATTATAAATCATATAACATTGGTATAAAACAAATTAATATGAGTTAATTATAGAACAAGGAAGCAACACAAATATGTATGTAATTCGCATTTAATCTGTTGAACTGTTGAATTTTGGCAGTCAAGGATAAGTTGACATGAGATGTTTTTGAACGTGGCTTATTGGCGAATCATTTAGGAAATACATACAACATTTCTGTGAGAGTGTATGAATATATATTAATTTTCAATGGTAAGTTTTATTTTATATTAAAAGGCAATGTGTCGTAGTATAATAATTGAACGTGTATTTTTATTACTAATGATTATAGAATTCAAAACCAGTTTTATAATTGCGTTCTAGTTATTCTAACTTATAATATTACAAATTTTTAATACAAACCACAGCGGTTTTCTAATGCATATTATGATTGTATTATATTATTTTGTAAAATAAAGAAATTTTAAAAAAAATGTGAAAGTGGCGTTCGCGCTGACTTCAAGCTGAAGTACAAGAGATTTTGTATACATTTTAATAAAGTATTTCAGTGTAAATTTAAATTAGGAAAAACTTAAATTGGTATTCAATCATTAACAATAATAATCATTTGTTCGAATAGGGCGTCTTATATTCGGTGGATCAGTTTGTTCGCTAAGCCAATAGCGTGTATATGACTCAATAACAACAAGAATAACTTGACAACAAAATTATCTTAAACAATCCATGACATGACATAACTTAAACAATGTTCTATACTCCTTTAACAGTGTCAAAACAAATGCTTCAACACTTCATAAAGTTTAATGCAAATAGAGTCACTAACGCGAGTTTAATAGTATGAAGTAGTCTTTAGTTTCGTGCGTACGTGATTCATCGCATGGACTAGAAAAATTCTAGAATCTAAAATACTTATCGTTCAAGTTATTACTGTTTAACTATTTTCAGTCTAAAGATTGCTGAACCTTGAGTGTTGTTCAATTAATTGTTATCAATTTATAAAAATCGGTTACGTTTTTGTATATAATAACCGAAACCTCCGGCGTACAATTGTTGCACTTAGGAATCTAGGTGCTATTTAAATATATATAAATGAAAACTCCTATACAATATTCATCGGTTCATTATAAGCAGATGAAAAGGGTTTGAGATAGCTTGGTTTTCATGCGATCTAGTGTTATTTTAGTGACGTATTTTTATATTGTCATAACGTCTATATTTTCTGTCGTATTTAATAAAACACTTCATCTGTTTATTTGTCTACGCTAAAACTTTGTATTCAAATAAGTTAAAGTGCTCGCAATGATTTAGGACTGAGTACAGTTTAACGAATTTAGTTTTTTTCATAAACGAATTATTATAAAATGCTTTAAAATACTTTGTCCTTATTATTTTTCTGTCACGTTAAAATAAATTTGATTAAACGTTAACTAATAAAGGCTAAGGCTTAAACACAGCTTGAATATAGGCTTTAGGACTATGTATTTATTTTGAGTTATATGTGTGACTTCGAATTAAAAAGTGAATCAATAAAAGAATTATAAAATGTTTTAAAAATATATTGCCCGCATTATTTTTGCTGCCACGTTGAAATAAATGCGACAAAATGTTATTAAGGCTAATACTTAAACACAGCTTGAGTATTACCTTAAAACCTTCGTAAGCATAATACGTTATATTAGAATGTATAGTCGAAGGTTAGTCGTGGTCATTGATCTTACTTTACCTTTGACCAAACAATGGTTAGTTTTTGTTAACTTTTATTGATTCGTATAATAAATGTAGATTTTGTGTGTCAACAAAAAGCATTTTATCAGCTAATTTTATTTACGTTTTGAGCTATAAAGCATACGATTTTGGACATTGTAATATGCTTCAGCAGTAAAATTAATAAAAGTTTAAATACTATTCAATTCTGTTTACGATTTTTACATCGGTTGATTTTTTAATTATTTAGATTTTTATTTTAAGTTTGCCAACTTAGGGGATTAATGTGAAGGGTACAAATCATATTTTACCTTGTAAAAACCTTATTCTTATTAAAAATTTATATGCCAATATCAAAAATGTCATCATCCTCACGTACAATAGACATAAAGCTTGTTATCATTACCATGACCCATTAAAACATACCAGGTATTTTCCTCAAAAGTCTCTAATAAAAACATGTAACTTATTTTCCTGGTAAATCTTATGTAGAAATATTTTTTTAAGGTGGATTTACGTTTTACGACAAATTCTAGAGAATAATTAAATTATTTTATATTTTACTAGCTGACCCCACAAATGTTTGTTTTGCCACGTATATTATTTCTAGAAAACATTTTTATAGTTCAATAACAATAACTATCTACAATAATAAAAAATAGGGGATGATCGTAGAGGCATGAAAATTAGGGGTTGAATGTATTTTTGCATTCTGTATCATAATCCTTATCACTTAGGGGTTTGAAAAATAGATAGTAGCCGATTCTCAGACTTACTGAATATGCATAAAAAAATTCATAAGAATCGGTCGAACCGCTTCGGAGGAGTATGGGAACGAACATTGTGACACAAGAATTTTGTATAGTAGATATATTAACCAAAATAAAACGATACAATATATTTGTCACTTTTCATCACAGCGTAAACATAATTTTACTAGAAGAGACAAAGGACACAGTACTTTGGTTAAAAGAGTACATTCAAAAACTAACTTTTTGAATGTTCTGTGTTTAAAAAAATTAATGCGTTATTTACCTCATCTCACCAGTTTCGTAGTATTTGGGTATTATATTAAATTATACATATAAAGTGGCAAGTAAAATATATTATCAAAGAGCATATTTTTTAAATTGAAAATTTTTGGGGTCAGCCTCATGGTATCTCCAATTTTGAATAAGTTTGACAATAAATTATTTTGGTGAATTTAGCTGACGGTTATATAAACAATATTGGGAATGTTAATTCATTTTCAAGTTAAAAAAACTACTATTTGAACTTCCATGAAAAAGCTTTCATACATTATTTACAAAGTTCAAAGTTCGATTATTCAATTAATATTTTAATGAACTTTTCAAATAGAAGGGTCATGTCCCGAATGAAGAGAAACTTTTAACAAATGAATTTTTATTGATATTACGATCGAGTTGAATCCTTTTCAATATAATCTGATTAATTAAATCACATTATCAAAAACGAAAATGATATTTTGACTATATATTTTATAATTATTATATTTTATTGAGCTCGAACTAAACTAAAAAGTCAACTTTAAGATATGTTCCTCTTTCGAACACTTACTATTCCTTCTGTGTCAAGCACAGACACATGATCATCTACTTGCCTATTAGATTGACATATGATCATGAAACAGATACCAAAATCTAATGCAGACAAAAAAGAATTATAGCGCCAAGTGGCTAAAACACATATGTGTTACGTAACATAAGCAGGTAAATCGTAAGATGCATTCTTTATATTTTTTTCGCACTAATACATTGGAGGATTGTATTAGCGGATTTGCGGAAATGTGTCTAAATCTTTCGCAACGATATGCTAACTTCTCAAATCATGTCAGTATTAAATTCATTAGCAGGGCGTTGAATAAATAAAATATTGGAATATTCTGGTTTGAAGTACTGACCACGGCTGTATGGCATGATCTTAAAATGATTAGATCACGATTTAGTTACTCAAACAATTTACTTCAACAAACCTAATAGAGTAACGATATATTATATAAACAGAGATTTATGTTCTTTATCAAGGCTGTGAGATCCGTCATACACAGGTCATCCCAATGAATATACCTATATTTTTTTTATATAGGCAATTCGGTGATCAGCCTTTTGTGCCTGACATACGCCGACGAAATTTTTGGGTTTAAGGCATGCCGCATGTACAATCAGAAAAATACAGTCGGGGTTCAAACCTACAACCCCTGAATGGGAAGTCAAAGACAGAAAAGCATAGAGCCGACACTGCTTCCCAAACCTTAACCCCTAGAGAATTTTTGAAGTCAAAACTTAGAAGCATAGCTGAACACTTTTGTATAGGCTTAAAACTTTAAAAACATTTTTGGACTGATGCTGATCGAAAAGCGTAAGATCTAGGGGAGGAAGCAACTAGTATTCCCTCTTCTCTACCGTGAGTGTCTGAATTTTAGGCGGCAAAGGCGATTAATATTTTGTTTGTTTTTAAAATTTTCGTGTATTAATACAGCGTTCCTTTATAACCGCCCGTTTGTTGACTGCTGATTCAAGCTAATTTAAATATACTGTTTAATTCTTAATTGAATTGTTTAAATTATTTACCTATTACGAACTTAATGAATCTATTAATAAAAAAGTGATGATGAAGTAGTAAAGCAAATGAGTGCGTCTTATTTTACACTTAAATATGTTCGAATCAAAACTGTTTGTTACTTACTCAGATTATATGGACCAATTTTATAGTTGAAAAATTTGCGATGATGACTTAATACTAGTGGCGTAAAAGCTCGTTATGGATGGAAGTTGATTTTTTGAGAAAAACTTATGTAATATTTTATAACGATATATATTAAAATAACAACATATAAATTGTCAGATTTATGGACATAGCCCAATTTAAACATTGTATTGCCGTACCTCATAAATGAGAGTACTTTGTTATACTTATAATTAAACACAACGTTGAAGATCGAAGTTTTCACTTCGCCGGCAAACCCCCGGAGTGCTCCCGTTGTTAATTTCAGCACGTTACGTTCAATGGGAAAGTCACTTGTTGTTTCCTCACCGGGAGTTGGATTTCCATCAAGGAATTTTTTTGATTGTTCAAATTTTCGTTTAAAAAAGGTTCTTTTAATGTATGCTGATTAAAGCTTACTTTAAATATTTCTTAGACTTAACTGTATGTTAAAGGGGCCTATGGCATAGTAGATTCTTTAATTGTGTGCATGTTAAAGGTTGATTTTTTTATGTTACTAGAGATTAATTAATCGGGTTTAATAGCAGGAATTACGCACAGAACAGTGAGCCACAGCTTTGGAGTTGACAGTGTTTTTAGTTGACATATTTGAGGAGGCCTTTACCAGGAAGGGGTTCCGATCGACGCCCTTTTGTGGGTGCCTTGGGCTATGCTGAGGAGTTAGCATATTCTTTAAACAATTATCAACAAGTAAGACCCCTGTGAATATTATAATTTGTTTTTGGCATGTTTGGAAACGAACTGGTCCGTTTTGTTTTGCTGATTAATATTTTTAATTTAAAAAGTAAATTCAATAGTAAATTTATCGTCGAAATTATTGGTGCTACTACTACTGCTAAGTACTAGTGCTAAGATCTATGAAAACTTATTTTCATTCATATTGAATGAGGTTTGAGATTAAGAACTTGTAAGAATACGCCACGCAAAAACTATGGAATATAAATTTAGTACAATGTTTAACTCAACGTTTCGAATGCTTCACAGAAGTCATGGTCAGCGACATTTACATTAATTGAACTACCATAAACCAAAATCGACATAGTTTTTATCTCTGGTTTTTAATAGAGGTCCTTAATTGGAAATTCCGTCTTAGATACAAATTGTTTCGTTTATAACGGTAACATGTGTTCACGTAAAAAGCAGTGACCTTATTATACTTAAGAAATTTTGTCGAACGGATTACGCGAAAACCTTTCAGAGAGAGGCGATGTCTTTATTTTAGTTTGAGATAGGATTTCGAGTTTTCTCTAAGATATTGGCATTATAACTTGGGGCATATATCTGGACGTCTTTTGTGCCTACAGAAAGAAACGTTTCGCCGCGAATCGAACCTTGGACCACGTGGTATGCCATGTGCTATCAGTCACGTAATTAAACCCATATACGTTAATTTGTTTTGGTAATTTAAAGGTTAACAAGGTTTACATATTGTAGAACAAAATAGCTCATTATACGAGTCAAGGACTTTGTATGACTGCATGCTATTATAATTTAAACTTTATCACAAGTACAAAGAGTTTTATCTTCCTTGTGCGTTAATGACAATGCATCTTGCGTAATTGTCGCCTAAAGATATGCAAGGAATTTTTGCATTAAGAAACTGCATATTAAATACAATGTATGAAAAACAAATATTACGAATCTTCAGAAATATTCAAAAAATCAAAATCAAAATACGTTTATTCAATTTAGATGCTTCTTAGAGCATGCTTATGAATGTCAACAACGTTTACAAAATTCAGAAAGAGCAAGACTAGCCATCCGTTCGCAAAATACCAGGAGGCCTTGTTCTGAGAAGAACGGGGAAGAAACTCAGCAAGTTTGCCTCCCCTTATTACAATTATTCAAAGGAAAATGTCATAAACCACAACGTCATTTAAATTACATAAGTAAAAAAAATAAAAAATCTGTTCTGTGATATACCACATTCACCAATTATGTGTTCACATATATATATTAAAAAAATAACACGTTATTACAGACTTATATTAATCGCTGAACATATATTTTAAGACGTGTGTGTATGTACGGTTCCTTGGTCAGGGGCGCTTGTAATAATTGCTTGTTACATACGTTATGCTGATTAAAATGTTGTAGATTGCCCGCGTCCGGCTAGACTTGGAGTTAAGTCCGATTTTGATAGCCGCGCCTAAACTAAGAGAACCTGAGCGAGCAAAACAGCCTTGACTCGTACGTTTGAATGTAATAACAATTATGTTGGATTTAGTGGTCTCGCTTACCTACTACTATATAATTGATGGGCGAATGGTTGTAGAACATTACTTAAAACAAAAGAATTTTAAAATATATGCCATGAACGTTAATGACAAGCTGAATTTCTCTTAGTTTATTAATTACATTTTATTATAGCTCGGGCGAGTATTTAGACCATTAGTTCGGTTCAAAGATAATTTATTTCTCAGAGAATTACATTCACTTAGCGATAAAATTTAGGGTAAGTTAGTTATGTACATTGTGTTATGAAATTATTTGAAAATGTTTAACACCTAGTTTGACACTAATTATAAATAACTTAACTTAATATTATGACATAATGTTACTGTTCTTATTATATGATAGTATAAAAATTATTATAAAAATTTGCTTGCCTATTTGTGTATGGCTGATTGTGCGGATTTTTATAATTAATCGATCTAATTGTACTTACAAATAAAAACTCTTTCAAATAAATAAAAATCTTTGCAAATAAACGATTTATTATTATTATCAATGTTAAATATGAATACTATTGTAATAATAATAATAAAGATTACTTTTTGGAGATATTTTTGTACCACATGGACTGAAGAAAATACAAAAATAATTAATTAAAAAACAGTTTTGCAGTTTTTTGACTCATTATGTATGATTGAAAATTATTTATATATTAAAAGCTCACCGATTTCCCAAGCAATAACATTTTGTACTCCCTTCGCAAACTCCTGTAGTCCCTGCTGCCGGATCCAGAATTTTCATACAATGCCACGTATTTACGCATTCTTAACGTCACTTTCGAGTTAAGTATTGCGATAAACAGTTTAGAAAGCCCTATAACCGATTCTATTGTGAACCGACAAAAACATCTACCTTGCAAAACCGTTCACAATTCGGCGGTTTTTTCGAGATTTTAGACACGACCAATCGAGGTCTAGTAATGGAATCGACTAAATATTTGGACTGATAAAAACTATGAGAACACTTAGGAAAAGTCATTCATTGTTTGAAAGACAATGCGTTATTTTGTCTTGCGGTTATAAGGTTGCGCATACGCAGTGACACACGCTTCTTAACTCAATGTAGGTAATAATATGGTAACACGTATATTAATACACGAAAGTTATGATTAGCCTTTGGAACCTGAATGAATTATTTCCAATAACCAAGTTTGTAGACAATTACAAACAAAATATAGACTCGTATTACTTATTAAATCCGTGGTCGTCGTGGTCAGCAAAGAAACATCGGACAATCTCATCCAGTTTTCAGTCCAGCGCCTCTTTTATAACAGTGTATTGTTTTGAGGTTGATGAGTCTTTCAGATGATCGGTCCATCTGGTTGGTGAACGGCCATGTGATCTTTTGCATTCTGTGTTACCAACCACAATCAGTTTCTTCAAGTTCTCAGTATGGCCGAAATATGATATATTCGCTGTTGGGATATGGTAGACAGGAGAGTCCATATGCGGAATTAGGTCAGGATCAATGTATTAGTGCACGCTACGATACTTACATAGTGACTCTTCTTCTTTGAGTTTCTCTCCATTAGTGGAGGCCTGTGCCAGATGCACCAAGACCTGTCCACTCCCTAACGTTGCGAAGCCATGATTTCTTCCTTCTACCAACACGCCGTTTACCCTGGATTTTACCCATGATAATTAATTGAAGGAGGTAGCGGTCATGGCGCAACACGTGATCCAGGGAACAACTTTCTGTTGTTTAACTGCATAAGTTTTTTCGACATTCCATCTCGTTTAAGAATACGATAGTATAAAACATGATTTCGATAAAGTTAAATAAATAAAAAAGTCAAAGGGCCTGTATTTTTTATACGATGATGCAGACGCTTTGTTGCGTTTGATACTTTGTCACCCATTTTAGCGACAGTTGCCTCATTTACATTCGCCTTTACACGCACACGTGACGCACATCCCGTCTCATACCAAACACTTCCGGAAAGTGAATGAAACTCTTTGTTTACAACAACTCTGTTGTTTACGGAAACTACAAAATATGTCGTTTGTTAGAAAGGTATATAAGTAATGGAAAATCTTAATGTAACCGTTGAGTTAACTTCAGCGTAAAATGTTAATTAAATAAATTCAGTGACGCTACAACCATTTTAGATCTGGGCCTAAGATTTCTTTATTCTCTTTCATGATCATTTGTCAATCTAATGGGCAAGTAGGTGATCAGCCTCCTGTCGACGATGTCAAATCAAGTCAAGTTAAAATAACTTTATTCATATATAGGTAAACAAGTACACTTATGAACGTCAAAAAAGAGGTTATATTAATTCTAAATTTACATTTACTACCATTTCGCAAGTCAAGGTATGTTACATGCGCACATAGAAAGTCCATTAGCGCACAGCCGGGATCGAACCTACGACAATCAGTGATGAGAATCGCACGCTGAAGCCACTAGGCCAACACTGCTCTTGTGGTAAATTAGTGACGATAAATAAATATTGCATTTTAATCGGAACAATAACCTCAATGATATAACATCATGTCAACACTTTGTTATATAACGACAACGGTTTGAAGAGAATAACAAACAATGAATTTAGAATGATACGCTTATATATATTATACTAAAACCATTTAAAATCAATTAACGCATACTATATAGATAGTAGTATATATAGCTTGGGCGTTATCGCTAAGTCTTTGCAGTCACAACAAATGAATGTTCGTAATAAGTATGTTAATTATAATTCAGTGGCGCTATCCTTCATCGTCTTATGTATTTGTATGTGTGTTTCATGCCTTATGTGACATGTTGATTTTATGGTTTAGAGTCGTTTCCTTGGCAAATTTTTTTATATCGTAGAAGAAAGTGTCTCATAGAAAAAAATCCAATTGAATGCGGCTTCGAATAGGTTTTTTGCTATGCCTCTCAAATCTCTGAAGCTTTATAATTATTTAGACCGTTGTATCAACTTCTTATGAATCTTTCTGTGCTCATTTTTTGATAACGAAACAGCTCTCTCTTAAGGCAGTTTTTGCCGCGCACCACCACTATGTGGAAGCTGCCCGCTGAAGTATTTAACGAAACAATTCGACTTAGGATCCTTCAAGAAAAGAGCGTACACATCTTAAAAGGCCGGCAACGCGCTTGCGGGCCTTTTGGCAATGTTAGTGTCCATGGGCGGCGGTATCACTTAATATCAGGTAAGCTTCCAGCCCGTTTGCCTCCTGGTTGCATACTAAAAAATAAAATAAACAATCAAACATGCTAACATTATTTGTTATTCAAGTCCTTCAATTCCTTTAGAGTATCATTAGTTTATCTTAATGGCTCTTAATGTGTCCTCTTGCAATTAATTGGCGCCAAAATGATCGGAATATCTTTAATTTGACGGAAATTGTGTTAATAATTGAAAACAAAAATAACTTAAGCAGATTTTAATATTTGTGATGAAATAGAATAATTATTTATTGATTTTAAAAATTTAATCGGAATTCTGGTTTACGTGACAGAACTAGATTCACTTTCGTAATAGTATTTCTCCCGTTATACCATGGCCTGACTTGTGTCAGGCAGATTTGTCTTATTGATGATTTTTTTAAGACCAGCCTTTTATCCCTACCAAGCCGGAATAACCATTATTTATGGTTATGGTATTATAACAAAAGGGATCGAACTTTGCGTGCACGGCATATGTACCTCAGAGGTAAATTGAGCTTTCAGCATAGCAATTCGAAAAAACCTTCCGCAATAACTAGTGATGATATTTTTTCACAATACATTTTGTCCAGGTACGTCCAGTATATCAAGTGTAACAAATTATTTACTATAAAATACTATAAAAATAGCCTGTATTCCAGTTCTACATAATCAGGAATAGCTTAAGTTTATGTTATTATATTTAATATTAGTACCTTCACGATCGCCGACAGGCCTCTTCCAAATTCATTTGTCTCATCTTCGGTATTATTTTGCAATCTTTCCCCGCTAGCTCTTTTATTTGTTTTCCCAGGTCTTTTTGTTAAATTATTTATTATAAATGCATACATCTTTCTTTCTTTGTATGAATAGTTGCGACAGAAATCATAAAGTTATAATATTAACACATCAAGTTCGATGACCTAAGGGATCCTTATAAGCAAATATAACGGGTTATGTTGTCCAGTTCATAATTTTTATAAAAACCATATAACCGTTAGCCAATACCTTGCTTGTGAAATTACTTACATTTTGAATTATGAGGGAGGTACAAAAATAATGTCAAAATATGCGGGAAAACTTCATCTATAAAAATGAATCGCAAAATGTGTTGGTAAGCGCATAACTCAACAACGCCTGGACCAATTTCGCCAATTCTTTTTTTATAATATTCCTTGAAGTACGAGGAGGTTCTTACGGAGAGAAAATTTAAAAAAATTGAGTTGCGGAAAACTTGAATTTAAAAAAGTTGTGAGAGGCGGTACGATGTTCGCCAGGCCAGCTAGTTACAAATAAAACATCAACCGATACTTATTATAAACAAGAGTGAGAGTAGCTTAAGGTAAGATTCTAAGTTGAGACTTACCGTGATCAATGACTAAAATTCCAATAAATTTTGATTTCCGGAAGTCACACTTAGTAATGTCTCGAATCACCTTTAGCGCTGGCAGCAATTTCTTCGCTGTTTTGCCATACATATTAGTTGAGCAAGGAAAGCACTATCTACCAGGTGCCAACTAAGTTTTCAATTAGCACCTGTGCACTTGTACGCCACGGCCCAAAGTTTGTCTTCTCCAAAGAGAACAACAAAATCAAAGTTGGAGGAAAGACATTTGGGCCATTTATTATTTTATTATTCACTTATTATTATTACGCAAAATTAGACATATTATAATGCTAACAATTAAGACTTCGTTCAACCTATTTCATAATGAACGCACCCTAATACAAGATGTCCAGACGATTATTTCTGGACCGCGTGAGTCAGTCGGTGTGTCATCAATGTGTTTACATCCCAGATCCGGTGCGTCCCGATACTTTGAATGGTTTTAGTTTGTGGTATCCAATTGCCTAGACAAGTTAATGCGTCTATATAGATACCGCAACGCTAGGAGATTTTTCATGTTTTGTAAATAGAAAATTTTAAGTCGTTAAATTTTTTTTTTAATAAAAAAAAAAGGATTTTATGTTGGGGCAGAATTCTCATCTGATGTTAAGTGATACCGCCGTCCATGGACACTCAATGCCAAGGGCTCGCGAGTGCCTTGCCGGCCTTTTAAGAATTGGTACGCTGTTTTCTTGAAGGACGCTAAGTTAAAATGGTTCGGAAATACTTCAGTGGGCACCTGGTTCCACATAGTGGTGGTGCGCGTCAAAAACAGCCTTAAAAAACGCTCAGTTGTGGAACGGCGGACGTCGAGGTGATATGGGTGGAATTTCGTATTCTGCCTCGACGTCCGATGGTGAAACTCAGCAGCTATTAATCCGAACAACTAAATACGTATATGTCACTTCCTTGCTTTAAACTGCTAATTTTAATTTCCGATGATAAGGAATCTACTACAAGATATAAAACTGTATAACAAGCTTTACAAAGTAAAAAACAGTCACTTCCCGCCGTTCACGCATATCTACTACTTAACTACCAGTTAAACGATAATTAAATATTGATATTCGAATCAGATAACTAAATTGTTTCAAACATCCGCTGATGTATTTATATTCTGTGTTGAAACTGTTTAAAATTCTATCCTAGATAACTTAAAGAATCCAAATTGCATACATTTACGTCGAACACTACTTTGGGACATATTTTATGTCCCCATTAAC